GCAGGAAACTCCTCAGTTCGCACCATTATGTCCAATCAAACACACGTAAGTGGCCGATCAACGCCGCTTTGCTCAATTGCGCTAAGAAAAAGGTTTTCTCCTCTGTTTTAGATGCGGCTGAATCCGAATCGATATCAGCTTTCGGCCGACCAGCGATACCTCCTTTTAGCACAAAACGTTAAGAAATTATTCAGGCACTCTTATCTTGCTCAATACACCATTTATGATATTCATTCAGGGTAAGTGAAGAATGCTTCTTATTACGGAGAGTTTCACAATGGCTTATCAGGAATATTGTGTTTTAAACGCCCGCCCGTTTAGGGAATTTTCCAGTTTCACAATGGGGTTTTGAAATCCATGAAAGTCGCGCTTTCCAGAGAAGCAAAATATGGGTCTTTTGAAGCAATTTTATTTTAAAAGCGATTTCAACTAAAATTCAACTTACAGATGGTAAAGAAAATGATGGAAAAACCCAGCCAACAGCCTTTAACTGAATGGATGAAGTTCATTGTTTAGAGCACGTTGTTTGTGCTTTTTTCCTTTATGGTCTGTTGGGGTTTTTCCATGACTCGCTCCTATTTTAAATGCAGCTTCAATTTGGGGAAAAAATGAGCTCCCATCAAATCTCGGTTGATATTTAAACTGGCAGATTTCACTAATGCAGATGCTAACAGTCAGTTCGCATTTTCTCCCATTTTGAATGCGCCGCTTTTAATATCCCGCCCATTCAACATTTTCCATCTGCAAAATTATTTAACGATGTTTTTTAAGCGACGCTCGTTTATTACAATTATATCAACGTTCTGACCCCCAGAACAGAAATGATGTAATTTTCATGTCATTTATGCGGCCCGAAATACGAAACCTTTCATGAAGCTCTGTGTGCTTTTTGTGACGGCGGTTTTGTCGGTTCTTTTTTGCCGTAATTAATTAACGGGATTTCGGCTGTTTTATTTCTATAATTATAAGAAAAGTGGCCGCTGAAAAAATGTAATAAGTCATTTTCGCTTACAGTAACGACTTTCCATTACGGCCGTTGCCGGAAAACGACGATCATCCGTTTCTACTTCTTGCTCAATGGGCTCCGAAGGGGCACAGCCTCATCATGGTACAGGATTACGATGTTTACTATAGGAAAACTCCCACTTCACACATGGGCTACAGAATCACCAAGAGTGCAGTACCGGGGGTTGTTAGTCATGGTGTTCCTGATTGGCTCTATGAAGGTGCGACTTCTTGCAAAGTTTTGATTTAATCAGAGGAACAGTTAAGTGGTGGCAAGCAAAAATTTTTGTTGGCTCACCATGTTGCTCTAAAATAGTTAACATTTAGGAAAATGTTGAATAATTCATGGGGCCCAACTCGTCCAAAAGCGTCTGGACTAATCACCAGTCTTACGAGGGTAGAGAGACTGAAGCCCAGTCGGTTTTGGAACTTTGATATTAGTTAGAATCGGAAAAAACAATAACGTTATTGAAATTTTTACCAATCTAGGTTTTAATAAGTTAATTGAAAATTTTCCCAGTTAGTGAGCCGATTTGAATAGTTTTTCTTTTGAATTGAGGCTCGATTCTTTTGTCGACTAAGGTGTCCAGTTTTCTTGAGCAAAGTTTAAATTCGTCTGCGGGTAATTTCAACTGTTTCACACAGAAAAATTATACGATGTTATAGCCTAATGTTTTCGGAGTAATTTGGATATAAAAACGTCTGTTTATCTTGAGCCATTCGAGAGATATAATTTTTTTATGGCCAGTCACATTGAGATTTTCTGCTCGGAATTTATTTAAGTACTGTTTTTATACCAAAGACCTGCAGAGATTTTCGTACAAGCTTAGAACTCTATTTTTAATGCTACGTAGCTTCATACAAAAGCAAACAAAAAAACAGTATCCTTAAGAGTGAAAACAGAACATTTTATACATAGGGAAAACTTTTGAAACCCAATTGATACCTTTTTGAAACTGACTGGAAAAATATTCACAGTCTAAAGTTAGGGGATATTTTTTCTAACATTTGTCGCATAAAATTATTTTAAAATACACTGTAACACTATTATAAAATAAAAATCAATTCCTGGGCTTCAGTCATTTATTGTCTATTTATCAATTAAAATACGTTTCGGTGTTTTCAACCATCATCAGTTTCTCTAAAATAACAGATAATAAAAAAAAATTCATTAATTTAAAAAACAATCACAGTTCGTCAAAGCTTCATCATATCACACACTAAAATGCATCACAATTGCAACACTTTAAAACATTCTAAGATTAATTAGGCCTAACAGGTGATTAGTCAGGACAATCAGTTCTGGGAAGAGATTTGTTCAGATAGTCAATTACTTTTACTTACATGCGTAGCGTCAGAAGAACTTCCATTGTAAGAACAAATAATATCTAAATTAAACTATAAGTGTGAATGTTTTAAACGATATGTGGATGACTGCATAATGTGCCTCCCAAAAGACAAAATTCAATATACACTAGATAAGTTTAATGCCTTTCATGACACCCTAAAGTTTA